TCCGCAGGCCGACGCTCTATCCACTGAGCCAAACCCACTAGGGCTGTTTAAGTATTATCTTTATATCATTGTGGATTTACACTTATAGCTTTAAACACTTAATGTACTTTATAGTCCATTACAGTTGTTATTATTGATATTAAATTATCCCATCTTTGGTCTGTGGAAATCTCTACAACTTGGAGGGAAACTATTTCCTTTTAGAGGGAAATAGTATTAGAGATCACAAGCTGGGTGCAAGGGTTATAATAGGCTTTTACTTTTTTTTTTGAAATAATTTTAGAGTTACAGAAAAGTTGCAAAAGTAGCACCAAGAGTTCCCGTATATCCTCTTACCGAGCTTCCTCTCAGGTTAACATCTTACATAACCACACACAGTAAAATGATCAAAACCAAGAGCATAATATTCGCTAAACTACAGACTCTATTCAGATGTCACCAACTTTTCCATGGATGTCCTTTGTTGTTGTTGTTCCAGGATCCAACCCAGGATTCCCACGCTGAATTGTCTCCTTCGTCCCCTCTAACCGGTAACATTTCCTCCATCTTCCCTTCTTAAAGAGGATGCTTTGACACGTTTAAAGAGGATGCTCAGGTGTTTGGGGGAATGTCCTTCATTTTGGGTCTGTTCTGGGGAAGAATAACCAGATGTGCTCCTCTCTGGGGGCATTGGGGTACACGACGTTGACCTGTCTTATTCCGGGATGTTCGCTTAATCATTTGGTTCAGATGGTGTCTGCCAGGTGTCTCCACTGTCCAATGATTACTTTCCCATTTTAGTTAATAAATATTCAGGGGAGGAGATTTTCAGACAATGCAAATATTCTGTTTCTCCTCAAACTTTTGCCCGTTCATGTTGACATCCACCGCTGGGTCTGGCCTGCAATGACTGTTATTATGGTGTTCCAATGGTGAGCGTCTCTGTCCCTCACTCCTTTCGCATTTGTTAAGTAGAATCCTTCGGTAAGAAAGAGCTGCCCCTCCCTCCCTGCCCCTATGTATGCATTCCTGTCAGTAAGGACTTGGGGATATTTTATTCTGTGGGTGATAACCCAGTACTGCAGCTAGTGTAATAGGCTTTGAATAAATGCTTCTGGAAGAAAGGAAGGCAAGCAGAGAAGGAGAAAGAAGAGGAGAGGTTGGAAGTGGAACTTGTCTGTCTTATTCATTTATATTTAATAAATCTTTATCAGAACACACTATACAGGCCAGCGAAGTGTCCCAGTCCACCCGCGTGCTGGTGGGAGTGACTTTTCTACAATGCAAATCTGAGTAGGTTGGGGACACCCCGCTGCCCGAGGAGCCCCTGCGAAGTTTCCCCCTCTCCCTCAGTGTAAGAGCCGGAAGCCTTACAGTGGTCTCAGGGTCTGCCTACTTTGAGGCTCCCTCCTCTCTCCCTCCCCTCTTCTCCTCTCTGCCCTTCCTTCAGTCACCTTGGCTCCCTAGGCAGGGTGTTTGCACTGGCCCCGGTTGCCCTTCCCCTAGATGTCTCTGTGGCTCCCAGTCCCTTTCTTCCTTCAGGTCTTAAATGTCACCCTCCTCAGTGGGAACTTCCCTGCCCACCTTACCCCAGACTGCCACTTTCCCACGCTGCCTACTTCCTTTCCTCCGTAGCACTATATATTTTTTCCTATTTTTGTTTCCCTTTTTCATTTTTTGTGTTCTTCCGCTGGAATCTAAGCTCTGGAAAAAGCAGAGGCACTTTCTGTGTGGCAAATCTGACCTTTTTCTAGGGTTTAAACTTGTTCAAAGGCTTGAAGACTCTCTCACCCAGTGCTCTTTTAGCAAAGGAGACCACGGCTGGAGCGTGCTGTGGGGTCCCAGAGCTATCCTGGTCAGCTCCATGGAGATGTAGCCAGGTTAGAGCTTGAACAAAGCCTTTGCCTCTCTCTGTTAGGCCCGCTTCTGTGTGGCAAATCTGACCTTTTTCTAGGGTTTAAACTTGTTCAAAGGCTTGAAGACTCTCTCACCCAGTGCTCTTTTAGCAAAGGAGACCACGGCTGGAGCGTGCTGTGGGGTCCCAGAGCTATCCTGGTCAGCTCCATGGAGATGTAGCCAGGTTAGAGCTTGAACAAAGCCTTTGCCTCTCTCTGTTACGCCGAGTGGGCTCTGCATTCACTGCCTGCAGACTAATGGACATGATGCCCTCCAGGCTCCAGCCCTGCCTGGCCCTCAAGCCTCTTCTTTCTTTCATCTCTTCATCTCACCTTATCTTCTGGAGCACTGGATTTGACGATGGCGCTCTTCCAGGAGGTGAGAGGGTCAGCTTTGCTCCTTGTTGAGTCCCCAGCTCTTAGCACTGCCTCCAGCTAAGAGTAAGAGGTTGGAGAAATATTAGTTGAGCAAAATAGATGCTTGTAGGGGGAGAATAGTGAAGTTATTACAGGGGTCAAGGTGAAAATGAACGTAGGTCTGCTCTTGGTTAGTGATAGTTGTGATTTGGTGGGGGGGGCGGTGGGGCGGTGGGGGAAGAGAAAGGAGTCCAAATGGGAGAAGATTTGCAGAGGTAGAATTTATTTTTCTATTTTTTTATCCTCACCCGAGGCTATTTTTCCCCATAGATTTTTAGAGAGTGGAAGGGAGGGAGGGAAGAAGGGGAAAAAGACACATCCATTGGTTGCCTCCTGCACGCATCCCAACTGAGGGCAGGGATCGAACCTGCAACCCAGGTATGTGCCCTTGACCAGGAATCAAACCTGCAACCCTTCAGTGCTGGTGCCAATGCTCTAACCGCTGTTCGGGGCGTGCAGAGGTAGAATTTAGATGTTTGTTCTACACCTTACGGCCCGTCCACATTCCATTTGTCCCAAAGGGGTAACTCACCAGTGTGGCAGAGTACTTGGAGCCGCTGCAGGGTTCTGCATAGATGCGCCATTGCTCTCTGACAGGCACTGTTGTGGCATTTTGTATTTTAGAAGTTGCCTCCGTCTGAAGGTACTAGGGGCCTGGGCCTGGTCTGGAGGGCCCCTCACCCCCGGGCCAGCCCATTTACCGCCCTGGAATCTGAGTATGTGTGGCCACTTTGGGGATGCCCGGATCTCTTGGGCCAGGCATGTGCAGGTATGGCTGATAGTCCACCTGCAAAATCAGTTGCAGTGGCAGGGCTGTTGCCATGGTAACAAGGTAGCTTTCGCAGGTACCCTCAGACTCTGTTTCTAAACCACACTGAGAGGGAGCGAAGGCCAATGTATCGCCAGGTGGCCCATGGCCCCGGCAAGCCAGTGAGCTGAGAAAAGGCCCACTTCTTTAAAAAAATGTTTTTATTGATTTTAGAAGAAGAAGGGAGAGGAAGAGAAACATTGATGAGAGAGAAACATCGATTGGCTACCTCCTGCACACCCCCTACTGGGGAACGAGCCCACAACCCAGGCATGTGCCCTGACCAGGAATCAAACCAGAGACTTTGTTGTGCATGGGTCATTGCTCAAGCACTGGGCCACACCGGCCAGGCAAAAGGCCCACTTTTTTTTTTTATTGCTTTAAGTATTACAAAGGGTATTACATATGTCTCCTTTTTCCCCCCGCCCTTGACATTCCCCTGGCCTCCCCTACCCGCCAGTGTCTTATGTCCATTGGTTATGCTTATATGCATGCATATAAGTCCTTCGGTTGATCTCTTACCCCTCCCTTCTGCCCCCCTACCCTCCCCGGCCTTCCCGCTGCAGTTTGACAGTCTGTTTGAGGCAGCTCTGCCTCTGTATCTATTTCTGTTCATAAGTTTATAATGGTCTTTATTATCCATGAATGAGTGAGATCATGTGGTATTTTTCCTTGAGTGACTGGCTTATTTCACTTAGCATAATGCTCTCCAGTTCCATCCATGCTGTTGCAAATGGTAAGAGTTCCTTCTTTTTTACAGCAGCATAGTATTCCATCGTGTAGATGTACCACAGTTTTCTAATCCATTCATCTACTGATGGGCACTTAGGCTGTTTCCAGATCTTAGCTATGGTGAATTGTGCTGCTATGAACATAGGGGTGCATATATCCTTTCTGATTGGTGTTTCTGGTTTCTTGGGATATATTCCTAGAAGTGGGATCACAGGGTCAAATGGGATTTCCATTTTTAGTTTTTTGAGGAAACTCCATACTGTCTTCCATAGTGGCTGCACCAGTCTGCATTCCCACTAGCAGTGCACGAGTGTTCCTTTTTCTCCACATCCTCACCAGCACTTGTCGTTTGTGGATTTGTTGATGATAGCCAGTCTGACAGGTGTGAGATGGTACCTCATTGTTGTTTTGATTTGCAAAAAGGCCCACTTTTTATCCTAGATTCTAATCATAGCGGAGTGCCACAACTTACATTCAAACCCCAGCCCTCACCCTGTCTGTCCTCACAAGTTCCTGAACTTCTCTGTGCCTCATTTTCCTGAACTGAAAAATGGAAATGTGAGAAGTAAGTGAGGTTGTGCATGTGGTAAATGCTAGCTAATATTCAATCACCTCAGACACACGCCCCTCACCCATCCTTTGCAGAAAAGTTTGACAGGAAACCCAGAGATGTTTTCACACAGCAACGCCACGCTGGGGTGCAGGACAGTTTTCTGGGATGGTCAGAAGAGCCTGAGATGAGAGAGGGAGAGAAGGTGGTTCTCACACGGGCCTCAGCAGCTCCCTCTGGCCGGCCAGGGGCTTCCTGGACCTTCGGGTGGCCGGCACAGCTCCCACCCTACACTGGCCTCTGGTCTTCTCTGCTGTTGTGGGTGCCGGTTCAACCACATTATGATTAATGGCTTGAGTTGAATCTTGGAAACTCACTGGAAACCAACCACGAAAAGAAGCAGGTCCAACCTGCACCCCATCATCCTTTTATTCTTCCTTTCTATTTTATTTTTTAAAACATATTTTTATTGATTTCAGAGAGGAAGGAAGAGGGTGAGAGAGAGAAAGGGACATTAATGATGAGAGACACTCATTGATCGGCTGCCTCCTGCACGCCCCACACTGGGGATCGAGTCCACAATCCGGGCATGTGCCCTGACCGGGAACCAAACCATGACCTCCTGGTTCATAGGTCAAAGTTCAACCACTGAGCCACACCGGCCAAGCCATTTATTCTTTTATTTACTCGACTCACTCAACATATGCTGTGCTAGATGTTAGCGGGTCCATGTGTAATAAGACAATCCTGCCCTCAAGGAGCTCCCAGTCCTTGCAGAGGAACCAAAAAAACAAACAGGTGACTATCAGCTGGCAGCATCCGGCCATTGAGTCCTGCCTGGGGAGTCAGGTGACACAGTGGCACCCCAGTGGAGGTCCAGCTGTGCAAGGCAAGGAAGTAAGAACTGTTCGGTGCTGCTATGTCTTAATGCCTACAGTGGGGTGGCTGGGAAACAGGCTAAAAATGTGACCCAGATCCTGATAAGCCGCCTGAGGAAGTGTGGATTTTATTCAGAGGGCAAAGGCCCACCTCTAGGAGGCTTAAGGATTTTTTTTGATGTTGCAGGATAGGGATGGATGAAAAATGGAGAACTGGCAGTTGGGTGGGGGGGGGGGGGAGAGGCTCTGTGTGGTGATATGGGGGCAAATGGTGACACCTGATGAGACCTGGATGGATTTGAGGGACATTAGGGGTGGAATTGGTAGGACCTGGATCCTGGCTGAGCTGATGGTCCTGCGAGCTTCCAGAATGACAGTCCAGGCCCCTGTGCTGACTGTGGCCCTGGCACTGGGCGTGCCAGGCTGCTCAGCTGCTGCTGGCGTTGGGGGAGCCCAGCAGGGCGGGGAGGGAAGCCCGTTGTCCTCAGAGTCTATCCACCATCGGGGTCCAGCCTGGGCCTGGCTGGACTGCCTGAGGGACTTGGCTATGTCCCCGCTTACACGAGGGCATGAATGTAGCACTTGGCATGGAACCTGGCACAGCAGAGGCACTCTCAACGGAACCTGGGGTTATTAATTTGCTATGACTCTGTGGGGAGCACTGGGAGGGAGACAAAGGAAGACGTCCTCCACTCGCTCCATATTCGTGCACAGAGCACCTGAGACAGGCTCTGGACGGAGCAGCCTAGCCACGGTGTTGAAACTGCATCAGGCACTAAGCCCCCGCAGGATTTAGGAAAGTCGGAGAGAAAGCGGTTCCCTTCAGAGCTCTTCAATGCCGAGGTGGCAAGAAAAAAGGATCATTCAGGGCCTACAGAAGGATCGGGGTTTGTCTTCTCAACGTCTAACCTGAGCATCTCACCACCTTTTGGAAGAAACACCAACAGTGTTCGGGCCGCATGGCCTTTTACAAAACATGTCAGAGAGCAAATAATCCAAGTGCAGGGCACTACCCTGGGCCCTGACACACCGGAGGCTCAGGCAGAACAGGGCCCCTGGCGGGCTGGCTTCCAGCAGCTTCCAGGGCCTACTTCCTGGTCCAAAGGAAAGAGTCAGGGCTTTTATTGGCTTCTCCAGGCCCAGCCTGCTGCCTTCCTCCGCGCAGCCTCCGCCCAGCACAGGCCTGGTGCCAGAAGCCTCCGAACATTTCATGGGTGGAAGGAATGAGAACCCGTGTGACTGGGTCTGTCCCGCACTGAAGTGTGTGATGGCACGTTTGTGGCCTGCCATTCCTTCAGGGACAGGAGGCCAGGGACGGTTTCCCCCAGCACTGCAGCTGCCAAGCACAAAAGCTCTACTTGAAACTGCCACTCCCATTAGAGAGACCAGGAAACGGAGGCACAGAGATGCGATTTGCTGAGGTCACACGGATCCTGCCCCTAAATCAGTGTACTGTCTGCTCTGTCCCTGTACTTTCCATCCAGGAGCCCAACGTTGAGGTAGGAGGGGAAGGCCCATCAGTTCTGTGGTTGGAAGGAATGACCCAGCCCAGGTCTCCATCACCTGGCCACCGCGGGCGCCCTGGACTCTGCCTGAATCCCGGGCCCTCCCGCGCTGCGCCCAGCACCCAGCACCCAGCTCTGAAATGCCAGCGGCGGGGAAGCCACGGCACACACTAGGTCGCCCCTGGCTTTGCAGTCAGGCCACCACGGTCACACCTGTCTCCTGATCGTGACCTGGCTGGAGTCGGGACACCGGCGCCATTTATGGAGGCGGCGCGTAAAGGGGACGCTACCGCAGCTCAGCTTGGGATGCGATTGTTTTTAAATAAACAAGTGTTTGCTCCGGACTCCAAGGGCGTCCGCTCCCCCAAAGGCGCGGGTGGGACTGGAAAAGGGAACTCGATCGGAGGAAAAGAAACAAACCCGACTCGGTTTCATTTACGCAGACCCGCAGACACAAAGGCAGCGGCGCAGGGCTGGGG